CCCTCTCAAATTTTCCTTTTTACTGACAGTAGCAGTACTTTTACTGACAGTAGCAGTACTTTATCGTCGAAAACCCTCTCAAATTTTCCTTTTTACTGACAGTAGCAGTACTTTTACTGACAGTAGCAGTACTTTTACTGACAGTAGCAGTACTTTATCGTCGAAAACCCTCTCAAATTTTCCTTTTTACTGACAGTAGCAGTACTTTTACTGACAGTAGCAGTACTTTTACTGACAGTAGCAGTACTTTTACTGACAGTAGCAGTACTTTTACTGACAGTAGCAGTACTTTTACTGACAGTAGCAGTACTTTATCGTCGAAAACCCTCTCAAATTTTCCTTTTTACTGACAGTAGCAGTACTTTTACTGACAGTAGCAGTACTTTTACTGACAGTAGCAGTACTTTTACTGACAGTAGCAGTACTTTTACTGACAGTAGCAGTACTTTATCGTCGAAAACCCTCTCAAATTTTCCTTTTTACTGACAGTAGCAGTACTTTTACTGACAGTAGCAGTACTTTTACTGACAGTAGCAGTACTTTTACTGACAGTAGCAGTACTTTTACTGACAGTAGCAGTACTTTTACTGACAGTAGCAGTACTTTATCGTCGAAAACCCTCTCAAATTTTCCTTTTTACTGACAGTAGCAGTACTTTTACTGACAGTAGCAGTACTTTTACTGACAGTAGCAGTACTTTTACTGACAGTAGCAGTACTTTTACTGACAGTAGCAGTACTTTTACTGACAGTAGCAGTACTTTTACTGACAGTAGCAGTACTTTATCCTCGAAAACCCTCTCAAATTTTCCTTTTTACTGACAGTAGCAGTACTTTTACTGACAGTAGCAGTACTTTTACTGACAGTAGCAGTACTTTTACTGACAGTAGCAGTACTTTTACTGACAGTAGCAGTACTTTTACTGACAGTAGCAGTACTTTTACTGACAGTAGCAGTACTTTTACTGACAGTAGCAGTACTTTTACTGACAGTAGCAATGGACAACATCGAGCCATTAGATGAGGCAGTTTACCTAATTTAAATTAACGAGCTTGTTAAGCAGTACTTGCGCAAGGTCATGAAGCCCAAGGTCAAGTTCACCACTATTTCTGGAAGAGGTGCGCTGAAAATCGAAATTGAAACCGGAATTCCAATTCAAATACCAGAAGGCACTCCTTTCGACGACATAAAGCAAGCAAAGAAGGAAGCCATTATAAAGTTCCTAAACAAACGTCCTTGGATACAACTTCCAAACAGAGAGAACCCTTTCCCAAGAATGAGCCAAATTCTCAAGGGTCTCCTTCACTACTCTGGTCAACCATTCTACATAACCTGTGAAGGCGACATCCAACCAGTTCAGTAAACATCTCATTTTAACTTCACTTTTTTTATTTTTTTGTGAAAGTGTCAAAAATAAATTGTTTCATGAGTTTTCTACGATGTTAGAAAAGTGGTTAGAAAACGTGTTAGATCTAACATGCTAACATAAACATTATTTTTCAATACTTTTTCAGCACTTTTCCGTAGTTATATATGAAAGACAATTCGAGATAAAAGTCATAGTACAATGGAATAATATGTTGCACACCATTTGTTGTGAACCAAACTTGAAAGTCAGAGAAACTGTTACTAGGTGGTTCGTAGAATTTAGAAGCAAAGTCATAAAAGTCCTTACCAACAATACATAGAAAACTATTGTTGCTTGAACTGAAACTTGCATGACACATAACATTTTGAGGGTCAAACACGTTTCTATAAACTGTCAAATCTGCTGGTGGAAGTATAAATTGAAATGGACCATCTGGTGGTAATGGTTCGTTCTGGTTTAGTAACCGAAGAAATTGTGCCCAAGAACGTTTGTCTACTTTCCAAAATAAAAACTCTGTATCTCTTGGAGGGTTAATTTCAATCTTTTGAAATGAAACGGTGGAGTTCATCTTGTCATATTCTAGTTTCAGATAGTATGTTCCATTTAGTAAAGAGTCGTATTTTTCTTGAAATTCCCAATAATATTTGTTCATTTGAGTTTGAAAGTCATTTAGAGTTTCTCAAGACTTTCGTCTGAACGAACTGTAAAGATTCTCATTTCATCAAATTTGTCTATTAGACCATCAGAACCTTTATACTGCCCATGAAAATATACTGCGAACATAAATGCGTTAGTTCTATTTGAAAACAAAACTCTTCTAAATGCTATTGCCTTTGCATCTGAAGGACTTTGAAGCCACGAATTGGATAGTCAAACCTGTATGCTCGGAATGAAATTTCTTCATCTGAAATAGTCCTACCAGCATTTGTAAAGATATAGTCTAACGGTTTTTGTATCTGCTACTTTTGTTCTTTGTTTTTCAACCTGAAGCATTTAATATATGTAAAATATATTGTTTTAAAATGGTATGCCATTTCATATTTCTCATCTAACAAACAAGTTTCCCAACGGTCTTCTCCAACAAACTCAGCGTACATTTCAAATAAAATAAAAAAATGTCACTTTTTTTAAAAAATAAATTTTTTATTTCATGCAATGTTTAACACATCGAAAGGCATGTCCATAAGACGTTCTTCTTCTAACCTCTCTAGTCTGTTTGGATAATTGGCACGTGCTGTTTCCAAATCCATTTCGTAGCGAAGACCAGACAATTTGTCATAGACTTTTATGGGTCTTCCCTTCCTATATTTAAACTTCTTCGAAACTCTCCAACCATATCCTTGTAACTCTGCTTTTATTCTAGCAGACTTTCTGTCCATTCTATATGGAGGCATTTTTATAAAAATAAAAAAATATTTTTTTTTCTTTACTTTACATAACCGCCTGCTGCCATAAGTCTTTGACGCCAACCATACCAGCTAATGAAGGTTTGACTTGGTTTAGTTTGGAAACTAAACTTTGGTTTTGTTTATCTTCAGTTTTTGGTTTTTCTTCTTCTATCGGTTTTTCGTCACTTTTCGGTTCCTCTGACTTTACCTCACCTGCAGGAACAGTTGTGTCGTCAACATCTTCATAAATATCATATGCCATTTGTTTTTGTTTTCCTTTCAACTTTTTGTGTTGTTGTAAAGTTTAGAATATTTCGACTCTAAGTCAATGAGATGTTCTATAATGAACTGTTGGTCAGTGAAGTAAACTTTTCCATCTGTTGTCTCGAAAGCTCCTTCAGACTTCAATATTTTATTTGTGAGAGTCTGTTTCTTTTTTGAGATACTAGCCGTTCCATTTTTATGAAAAGTGACTTTGTAGTTAGGGTTTGTATTTCCAGACCTGGCACTTTCTATTATTGAATTTTTCTCTTCATCTGTAAGTTCTTTGACGGGTTTTGACAATGGTTCTGAACTTTTTGTTTGTGGTGTCAAATCTACCGTTTCAACTTCTTCGGTCATTTCATCTCAGTAAAAAATTTTAGTTTGGTTTGTTTTCAAACTGGTTGTTTAGGTTTTTTAAGTCGGTCTAAAACTTCCTGAGGTATAGGAAGAACTTGACAAACACGTGGTGTAACTGCTGGAAGCCGACAAATCCATCTTGAACCCATTTGTCTCAATGCTGTATTGTTCATTTCATCTCAGTAAAAAACTTTACATTCCCCACGTTTGAGGCGGTTGAGGTGGTTTTGTTTACCCATTGTTGTGCATGGTTATATCCTCTGTTAAAGAATCTTTCACCTTGGTCCATATAGTGTCCTGCTTGGTTATAGTAGTCATTTGCTTTGTTATAATAGTTTCCTGCTTGTCTTCCTACATTGTCCATCCATCCTTGAAACTTTTCCTCTTGTTTCAGGATTTGGAATAAGATTTGTTGCATCTCGTGCTACATCCCAACCTTTCTGTACAGTTTGTAATAGGTTGTGCTTTCTCTTTAAGTATACCTAATGTACTCAAAATCTTCCTTCCAATTCCAAATGCACTCTAGCTATTGTTCCCACTGCGGGCAAAAATCTGGATGCAACTCCTGCTAATGCGCCAAATAAACCCATTTCTTATAGGATAAAAAAATGACGAATCCAAACAAGGACCCTATGTTTCTAAAGCGACAAAGAAAGCACTCATGGTAAAAATCTTTAGTTCAACACCAAATGCTTGGTTTATGGATATCTTGGAAAACATTCCGAGGTATAGAGAAGATGAACCACCATACTGGTTAATATTTGTTGGTCAAAACACAAGATACTGTGAAGCCATACCATTATGGTCCAAAAATATTTTAGATGTGAAAACTGCTTTGACAATATTCGTTGACAAATACCATCCAACAAAACTGACATCTGACTGTGAAAGTTCTTTCAAATCAGATGATGTAAAAAACTATCTGCGTTCAAAAAATGTAAACCAATATTTCATTGTCGACCAAAACCATTCTGCTCTTGGTGTCATTGACGGTTGTATAAAAATGTTAAGAGACTTAAACCAACCACAAGGTGGTGAAGCAAATGAAATGTCATATGACGACAAATATAGACACTTCTCCATGGCAAAGATGAGACAAGTTTTAAATATTTACAATAACCGTAAACAAAAAGGTTTGGGAAACCACTCCCCCGAAGAAATGAAAAACAACCCTGACTTAGAGAAAGACTATATATTTAATAATTTAGTCAAAAGAGACAAACAAGAAAGAATGCCGGGCTTCAAACTTCAGAAAGGTGACAAAGTAAAAATAGAAATACCTAAACGCGACCCATATGAAAATACTATTGACTATGACAACAATGGAACCCGATAGGTACTCACATTCGTGTTCGTAAAAATAGAAGAAAGTATACAAGAGAATATTATGAAGTTTTAGGCAAACATGGCAAAATGTACACACTGCAAGCAGAAGATAAAACTACTATTGCCAGACCTCGTTTCAAACTTGTCAAAGTTCAAGGTGGTATACTTTCAAAGACAGTTCCTAACAAATATAAGACAACTCCTGACGAATATGCTAAAGAAGTTGAAAATGACGACTAAGCAATTCTATACCATGCGTAAACTGTCATGTAAGGTGGCATGTATTCTTTACTTTGTCCCGTTGTTTGCGTATATCCTGAAACGCGATGTGTATGGTTTCCTCCTCCCTCAGTGTTACTCCAGTAACAATTTATAGCAAACTTAACGTTGTCTTTAACATCATATCCTTTACCTTTTGTCATTCCTGACCAATCCCAATATCTATGCTTATGCCAACCTGCTTGAGATGTACTTAAATCTATGTAGTGACTGTGCGCAGGTAAATTTTCACCTGAAATCGTTTTACTTCCACCTGTTTCCTTTGAAGAGTTTGCACAATACAAAAACCTGTCGACTATTTGAGTCCAAGTTCCAAAACCAAGTACTACTTCTGGTCTGGTAGAGTTCATTGAAACATATAATGAGCCAACCGGGTAAATAAGATTCGGCAAAATTTGTTAAGCACATTGAGTTCCTGTCTTAGATGCATAATAATATTGTCATTAGATATCAAAGTATCTACAAGACTTGTTGCCGGTGGTATTGTTGGACCTTTACTTGGCAAGGTTGTGTTTAGTGTAATATCATCTGCTGTAAAAGTTGTAAAACTTGTATGTGTATGAGTCTTATTTGCTTTCTTCTCTAACTCATCGTTAACATAAGTTTTATCTGCTTTAAGGTCTAAACATCCTGAAACCCATCCTGTATCAGCTTTAGTTTTAAAAATCTTCGATGTCCATTCATGATACCATTCAGCCCTTTCTTTAATTTCATTATCTTTTTCATCCACATATTCCTTATCCGCCTTCTTCACTAACACACTAGCCATAAGTCCCTTATCTACCTTATTTTCAAGGCTAACGTTTAAGACTGTTATTTCAGATATAGAATGTATATGAGTCTTTTTAGAATATTCGTTTTCAGCTCTTGTCACTTCACTTGACATTTTATTGTCAACATATGTTTTGTCTGCTAGTTCAGGATGAGTATGTTCTTTTGTTGCATAAGCATTGTTAGCTCTTTCTTCTTCTTTTGCTATTGCATCGTCTACATATTCTTTGTCAGCTTTGTTGTCAACATCTGCTTTCAAAAGAAGTTCATTTATAGGTTTCTCGTTTAAAGTTCCTTTTGTTGGATTTATACAGACAGTATTGTTCTTCTTGTCTTGAAACAGAAACTCATCTGTCATTGGGTTTAATGTCAGTTTTAAGTTTCCTTCTTTCAATGACTCAGATATCTTAGAATAGTTTGAAAAGTTTGTTGTGTTCTTATTTAGAGCTTGCATAATGAGTTGTCGGTTGTGTTGTATTTCTCTTATGGAAGCAATATCTTTCGACATTTTTATTATAGATAAAATATGCTTTCAATAGAAAAAGAAAATTCAAGAGTTGCTACAACTAAACCATTAGATGAACTTTTTACTAATGTCGGTCAAAAGTTTGAGACAGAGACGTAAAGCATGAAGGCTATCGTTTTGACTACCCATTAAGATGGCTAAGAGACCCATCTGTCACAAAAGCTATTGGCTTTCGTAGAATGAAGTTCATTTCAGAAGCCATACATGGTTTCCCATTTACGGTCGGTTTTGAAGTTCGATACTATAACAAAGAAAAACGTATGTATGAGAAATTTGAACAGGGAAAACTTTTACAAGTTAGTTTGCTTGTAAACTTAGAAACAACTCTTCAAGCTTTTCAAGAAAAAATAAACGATATCTATATCGAATATGCAAACCAGTATAACATTGACGAAGGAGAATACCATCTCGATATTATTTATGACAGGAAAAATGCAACTGTTAAAATCAATAAAATAGAAGACCTTGGAGAAAACGTTTATATTTCTACAAAATATAACAACTTGGCATGGTATAGATTTATGAGGATGTTAAATCAGCCTGCAGCATATCCAGTACACCCAGACTTTTATGAAGTCGAAAACCCTAATGGAACATATGAAAATGTTTTCGACCCAGCTGCTATTATTGTTCATGCTTCATTTTCTGGCGCTCAAAACTCTTTCTTATGCTTGGCAAATGACTTTTACGAAAAACCTACAAAGTTATACGAACCACCAAGTGGAAGTATTTCAGACTTTCAAGTATGGTTTACTACAGATGGAAGAAAAAGAATAATTCCATTATACCATGCGTTTTACTTAGAACTTAGTTTCATATACAACTACTATCGAACGATAAAAATATAATTTTTTAATACGGTTGAGGTGTTGGATTTGGTTGCCAACTAGACTGTGGTGCAGGTTCAGGCTGTTGTATAACAGGAGCTTGTTCTTCTGGTTCAGGGTCTTTAGGTATAATACCAACGAACTGACCTACTCTTTTACCAATATTTTTGACTCCGTTCCCAATTCCTCTTCCTACGGTTTTTATTCCATTCCATATACCTCTTCCAACATTTCGAAAGAAGTTTCCTATCTTACTGAAGAAACCCATTTTACTATATGTAAAAATCTAATGTCCACCTAGTCTTTTGCGTTTCCTGTTGAGTTCCATAGCATTCTTTAACTGGAGCTCATACATTCTGTTTCTCCTCTGGTAGAAAACATATTCTGGGTCAACTCCTGTGTTCGACTCGCGTTCTGTCATCTGCATAAAGTTGTTTATATCACCATTCAGGGTTTGTATAAAACTCTTTCCATCTCATATTTGCATTACCATTGGTGGCAAACCTAACGCAGCGTCATTTGACATTGGCAGTTTGCATTTGTACATCTGTTGGCACTTGACCATAGTTTGCCATTGCAGTTTGTATTCTAACTTCATTTGGAATATTCTCTGGGTTTGGTTGTCCAGGTTGCTGCGCATTCGCTAAGTTCTGTGCGTCCATTTAATATTAGATAAAAATATCTCTTACGAGTACATATACTGAACATTTGCAGGCATTGGTTCATCTTCATATTCTCTGTACTTTTCTGCCACGTCATAATAATAATATGACACAATGGAAAAAAACCTAAAACTAACAATCCGATTTCAACCACATTTACTTACTAATAAAATTTCTTTATTGTGACACTTTCTCCGGTTTATAGGACCTCTCTCATATTCTATCTTGTCATATCTAAACTCATAGTCATGTATGTCCTCTAACCATCTCATAACGGTTTCCAAACCACTTTTATCGGATGTAAAGTAAAAGCATGGATGGTTATGTATAACGTCTAAAGTTTCTAAAGAGTCTCTCAAAGTCCAGTCTACTTGGTATTGAAAATCCCATGTGTTATAGAACGGCGGGTCCACTATAAAGAAAACATTTTCCTTGTCTTTATATTTTTCATACAACTCTGTCCAATGACATCTCACAAACTCTATACCCTCAATATATTTTTCTATGTTCTCTTTGAAAACATTTGTATAGTTAAGATATAAAACTTTTGACATAAGTGTTTCAATGTCATGAACTCTTATAGCACCACTATATAATAGTCTAGCAGATATACTATCCCAGTCTATATATTCTGCTTTTTTCAAAACCTCTCTCACAATATTTTTCTTATCTAATGGTATACGTTCCATCTTACCTATAGGTATCTTTTCTTTTAACTCTTTCAATATATTGTTTGTGTCTGGAATATGTTTGAGACGGTTCATATAGTTGTCGAAGTCATTGCATATAATCTTTGAGTCTGGGAATATTGTATGACATAAATGGGATATATAGAAACTTCCACCGAACAAATCTACAAATGTTAGACCATTCGGTAGTTTCTTAAGTTCTCTCAATATAATATCGTTACATCTACTCTTATTTCCAAAGAACGGTAACGGTGGTTTTGTAAAATTCATTTATATATAATAATAAAAATGTTTTTCCCCGAAAAGTGACAGAAAAGTGACAAAACATGAAAACATATATAATTTGTGAAAAGCGACACATTATATAATGTTTTCGACCCAGAAGACTAACAATTTTCCGAATAAAAACTTCATTTATACTAAACATCTTCGGGGCTAGAGGGCGCAACGCGCCTGGAAGCCCTCCAAATATAAACTTCATTTATACTAAACATCTTCAGGGCTAGAAGGGGCGCAGCCCCTGGAAGCCCCACTACCTTTTTTTTTTCAACCTTTTTGATCAAACCCTACACATGCATAAATCAGCAAAGTTGCTTATTGCTCAATATAAAATTTTTGTAAAGAATTGTGTATCAAAAGTGACAATTATGAACGAAACTCGTAACCAGAAGATTCAGAGATTAAAGCAAATTCGAGAAGAATTCAACGGAATATCACATTCATTAGCTAATGGAACAGGAATACCGCGCTTAAAAATCGAACATGAAGCAGATATTGAACCGTTGACAATAAATTCAGACGTTAAAAAGTATATTGATCAAATAAATAGGACGTTAGTTTTAGATGAGCCAAAAGTACACAGAAATGCTTATCAAAAGCAGCTTATTGCATCATCTGCAAGAATTAAAAGAATTAATAATGGATATTCAATTGTCAATTCTATTAAATCACCTCGAATTTTAATGAAAAAGCAATATTCTACCAGTGTGCCATTTGTTTCCGAAAAAGAATCGATTACACCAGAAAGTCCTCATTTTATTCCAGATTTAGGTCCAAAAGCAACATTTATTCTACCTCAAGAGATTGTTGAAGATAGTTTATCTAGTAAGAAATCAAACGATCTTAATAAATTAGAATATAAAATTAAAGAAGATGAGAGAAGACTACTGAATGATTTTGCAAATAAAATGAATGTTAGAGAAACACATAGAGAAGAAATTATGAAACAACGCCACAAAGATTTTATTCAATTTGGCTTTGAAGAAAGTAATCGGCGTGCGAACAGAGCACAAAAGATATTTGAGATTAGATATCTAAGAGAGAACGATTGGGAGTGGTGGAGTCCCCTTCTCGACACTTTTCAAACTTCTACGCCAGGAATTTATGATCTTGAATGTTTGGAAGATCTTTCCAAACTTAATGAGCTTACGGAATATAACATCTCTAAGGTATTTAAGAAAGGGGCTAAAAAATCTCCAAACGCAAAAGAAGTTTATCGGAAAACATTAAGATTAGCGAATGAATTTGGTCATTTTCTATCTCCTGCCAAACTCAACCTGGCTTTCAAAACTATTGATGATAAATTATAAGATTGTTAGTTCAATTTGTAATGTATATAATAAAATTATCATGCTATTTTGTATTTTCTTGGATATAATTTTCTTTGATGCGAATTAGATGATTTTCTTGGGTTATCTCTTTTCATGTAGCCTTCTCATCGAAACAAAACATTTATTTAAATTTTATTAGACGATATTCAACATAGCGAGAACAGACTCGCCGCACACACTCTTCTACGCGTTCGCCTTCCTCGCGTACTTCACCGGCTACATCTCCTCCGGCAACGGTAAGAGGCAGGCGTCGAGCGGGTACTCCTCCGAGGTGGACGACGTCATCAACATCTCGATCGACACAACACTGTCCGGCGACGGGCAGCAGCTGCTGGCGCGGATAGAACAGGCGGCCCTCTTCGAGATCAGGAGAGCGATGTCGTTCGTTTTACCCGTCGCTCTTGACGTGCAGATGGAGCCATTCGCGAGGAACAAGACAGACGCGGACGGCGCATTCTACGTGGGCGCCGTGAGTAATAGGCGCGCGCAGGGTTTCTCAGGGAAGGCGGGGTACGCCGTCAGGCCGGGCAAGAACAAAACGTTCCGCGTGTTCCTGGAGTACGCGGCTGGGGGAGACACATCGCTCACAGCAGTCGACACGAGCGGGACAGAACTCCCAGAGGACATCGTCAGCAGGGCGAAGAAGGCCCAGGTGTACGCGACCGAAGTGTTCAACACTGCGTTCGACATGAGCTTGAAACAGCTGTACAGTATCGCTCCGAAGGGGCTGCAGTCGAGGGAGAGGAACGTCGCACGAGTGCTCGCGGCAATCAGGGACATTGGAAAAACAGCCGACGTCGCGAAGTCGTACGCGGACGGCAAGACGAACAAGGTCCAGAAGGGCACTCGCATCATGATGTCGAGTCCGGCGTTCTGCATGATGGCGCGCCTCGCCGCCCTCATCTCGTCCACCATATGGAAGCCGATGAAGTTCATGAGCGACGAGCAGGCTGTCAACTTCATGAGGGACACCCTGTAGATGCAGCATACAGACAGGATATCGGAGCCTCTCAAATATCTGAGGTCCATGAAGTTCGGCGAGCTCCTCAAAATCATTCAGCTTGGTCAGTGAATAAAAATATATTTTTATTATTCGGTGTGATATTCTCAGAGGGATAAGTGTAACACGTCGACACCCTTCGTGGCGGCGCACCACACGGCTACCACGCAGAACGTGGCTACGATCACCAGGGCGAACAGTGCGCAGACGATGAGTATCATCAGTGTCCGCTCCTTTCCGCTCACTGGTACCACAGTCTTCTCGCCTGTTCCGCTGAACGCGCTGCAGTTGCACCTGTTGTAGTATATGGTGTCCATCACGAGGCTGTAGTACGTCAACCTCGTCCTCCGCGCGAGCTCCATGTACGTCATGTTGCTTCCCGCCCACGAGTAGTTTTCCACCATGCGGCTCGATTCGTTTCTGCCACTCAGACATAGCACCATTGTCTCCCAGTCGTAGTTGTCGGCGTCCGCCTTCGCGGTGAAGTCGAACACCCTCTTCCTCGTGTCGGCGTCCGTGGAGAAGTTAAGCCTGTCGAGGACGTCGCACACACTGTTATCGCCCTCCTTCAGGTCGTCCTGCAGGCCGAATGAGAGCCTCTTGCACACAGCGTACAGTGTGCCGAACATCTGGTCGTAGTACGGCACGCCCCTGAGCGCCTGGACTGTCACTGTAGTTACCGCTGCCATTATGAGTAAATAAAAATGAAGTGGCCGTTTACTCCGTATCTCAGAATTTCGTAAGGTTGTTAGATTCCCGACGATAGGTGTCTTGGAAGATTTGCCTGGTGTCATTATAGTGTCTTTAAATCAAAAATTTTATTTTGGAGTTAGTTTTATTTCTAAAACAAGAAAATAAAACGATAAAATATTTATATTTTATATAAGGACTTATATATTTAAAATAAATATCATTTTATTTTTTTCATTGGTGTCTGTCAAGCCATAATACACTATTCAAAAATTCAATGTGCCTTGCGGTTTCAAAAGACACCTTTAAATTGAACGATAGCACAGACACTATTGAATTTTACCCATTTTATTTAGTTTTTACCCTTTTTATTTTTAAGAATTAATGACTGAAACAGCCGTTTTGCTATGACCTCAATCACTTTTATTTATTATTTTAAATATTATTTAATTTTATTATTTGAATAGGCCAACTTATATTTGAGAAGCTCAATTTGAGATCACTTAATACATTGAAATATCATAAATATTGAAATATTAAAAAGTGTATTTCAAAATATTGAAATTATAAAAATTTATAATACTGAAATTGAGACAAATTAATAAATTCAATGTGTTTTTTTTGAAATAACTCTCAAATATTATTTTTTTGTTTATTTAATGATGAATAAATATGATTGCTTTAATCAATCATAAAAACTAATTTAAGTTTAAAATAATGAAAGGATAATTTGATCGTTTTTTAAAATACAATTATTTTTGATGATTTGCAAGAATCTTTGAAAAGAATATAATATAGGTTCTATTTTTTTTTTAAAAAGGTAGTGGGGCTTCCAGGCGCGTTGCGCCCTCTAGCCCATAAAAAATTTCTGAGGACGAGCCAGCCGGTGACTTTTTTGTAGAGCACTCAAAATAGTATAACTTTGTCCGGACAAATAAGGGTCTATCGTCGCTACAGGAAAAGTTACAGGCGTTCCAAGGAAGTATACTTTGAGAAGCCTTTTCCCCCTTATAGAATGAGATAGGACGGTTATTTTATAAAACTGACAACACTTTGACCGAGTAGTTTTTTGTGCTGAACAAAAAGTGTCATATAAACATCTGTCAAAAACCGTTTTTTACTTCACTTAAAATGCCACGTAAGCTACGTAAGAATATACGTAAGAGGAAGGGAGCATTGAAACATCCAATAGTAAAACTGACACCACAACAACAGTTGCAACAACAAATGATGAATGACCCCACTATGTTGCAACAAATGTCAAGCAACCCTATGCTTTTAAACCGAGTTATTGGTGCACAGAGTGGAGGTTTAAGAGCGGCACTTTTAGCGAAAATGGCAGGCTATGGTGGAGCTGCAGACGGAACAGCTTATAACCCTCAAAGTCAAATGAATTTGAGTTCACTCAAAAATCAAATAACAGATGTCAAAAAGTCAAACATAGACATACAAAAACAAATAAGTGAAAACGAAAAGAAACTAGAATATGACAGACACACAAAGAAACTAAATGAGTTAAACTTAGAGAAAAAGAAGAAAGAAGAACAACTGAAAGAACTAAGTACAGAGGAATATGCGAAAAAAGTGTCAGAAAAAGCAGCAGAAGTAGCAAAAATGGAACAAGATGTTATAAATTTGAAAAACCATACTACTCAATATAAAGTACTGAAAGATGAAGAAATAAAACAAAAAGCCCTGAAGACATATATGGATAGCGATGAGTATAAAAAAGAAGTTGAAGCAAATGTAAAGGCAGAAAAACTTTTACAGTTGCAAAACCAAACCGTACAGTATGAAAACTTAGCACAAGAAAGTAAAAATAACGACGCAGCCATGCAAAAGGCAATGAAAAGCGCAGAATATATAAAAGCTAATAATGACTGGTTAGATGCCCAAGCCAACGCTAAAGCAGCCCAACTTATAGGGTCAATAAGGACAAAAATACAAGCGGATGAAGACAGTTCAAATGAAGCTTTAATGAATGCTGACTTTAAGAACGCCTTCGAAGCTCTTCATAGTAAGGTGAAACTAGTGAACGACTTCTCATCTGGAAAGAAACTGAAGTCTGAAGGTTTCGACAAAGAGTTAAAAGAAGTAGCACAAAATATGACGAAAATAACAGATGCAGCAACGAGACAGGCAGTTCAAAGTGCCTATGACGCCGTTAGAGCAACTGTTGTGGAAAGTCAAGAAAAAGAGTTACAACAGACCAAAACAGACCTAGTAAATGCTTTCTTAAGAACGAAAAGTCAGGTAGGACATTATGCTGCAGATGGAACATATGTGCCAGCTGGTGGAACTTATATACCACCAAACCCTCCAAGAGAAGCACCTGCACCAGGACTACCTAAAACATTTACATCGTCACATGGACACAGACACAGGCATGCACCAAAACCAACACAACAACCAACAGTTCAAAATCCAGCACCACAACAACAACCAAAACCAACAGTTCAAAATTCAGCACAGCAACCAACAGTTCAAAACCCTGCACAGCAACCAACAGTTCAAAATCCAGCACCACAACAACAACCAAAACCAACAGTTCAAAATTCAGCACAGCAACCAACAGTTCAAAACCCTGCACAGCAACCAACAGTTCAAAATCCAGCACCACAACCAAAACCAGCACAACAACAACCACAAACAGAGCAAGGACATAAAAGAAGTAGAGAAAAAGGAAACCAAGAATTCTTAAAAATGCTTAAGGAAGATTATGGTTACCCAGATACTCTTGACTTTAGTGACAGATATAAAGAAGCTATTAGAAAGTTCAAGGAAGGAAATACTGACCCGAACCTATTTAGCTTTATGGTTCAGCACCAAATGGGATATAATCTCAAGCCTGGAAAATACAAGCTCGCTAAGGGATATGATTTAATAGCATATCATCCAAATGACATGGATGAATTTACTCCGAGATATTTGGTGTCAGAGCTAAATGATAATTCAACTCTCTTCATGAAACGCGTAAAAAATAGAGACGGAACGAAAGAAGAAAGGTTTATGAGTCCGGATGACTTAGATAGGGAACTTGTTAAAAACGGTCTCGGAATATATGAAATGCCAGCAGATGAGGTACAAGAAACTCAACAGGAAGAAGTTCAGATACAACCAGACATGGAAGAAATAGTTCAGCAACAACAGCTAGAAGAGCCTGAAGGAAACGAACAAGTCCCTCCTTTGGAAACTAACTTCACAGAACTAGATGAAGATTTGGAACAGCCGAAAAATCTTGACCCTCAACAAGTGTATGCGGAGAATATGGAATCTTTCCAAGAGTCTAAGAAAAATTCGACTGACATAGTAGAAGAATATCGAAAAATGTTCGCCGACATACAAAAGACTCCAACATCAGATGAAAATATTCAGCATAGAATGGAAGTACTGAAAGAAAATGTACGCAAATACAATAATCCTTTTTACTTACGACCATATAACGTTCAATCTTTGGCTGAACTCGGTGAAAATACAAGGTTAAATTTCAACAAAACATATAGAAATGAAACATTGTTTAAAGTTCATTCAGAACCTAACCAATATGGAAACAAACCTACTTTTGTTTCTGCAGACTATGGAACTACAATGAGATGGGGTCATAAAGCTAATCCGGATAGGTGGTTCATAAACTTACAACCTCAATTCCAAGAAGTTGTAGACGCAATGGAAGTGAATGGTGAACCAGATATAACGGGTATTTTCAGCGCGGCTTTAATGCCATTGAAAGATATGAAAGATGCAGATATTTTGGACCAGTATGAAATGAACATGGCTGAAGGAAATATAACACCTGACGTTCTAGAACATTTATCTCAAAGAACTACACAGAACCATAGAGATGGTATATTTGGTGAAGAGTTTAGAAAGAAAGTTAGGGAGAGAGAAGGAAGAGAACCTATTGTACATGACCTTGCAAACGAAAGTTTGCAAAATGTCATAAAAACTTACTTTGCAGACAATGAACCGAGAAGGGATGAATATTTAAGAAAACTCAAATGGACAGTACCAAATGAAATGTTAGTATTGAAAAACATGTTCCATGACAAAATAAAACCAACTACAGAAATAAATGATGCAAGACTGAAACGTTGGGTAAAAGCTTTCCCATTCACAAAAGATATTATTGGTTACATGGAAAGAAAACCAGAATGGCTACAAAAACATATATTTGGAAACGAGCTTATTCCATATGGACAAGCTCTGTTTGAAGAGCTTGAACCGGAAACTCAGGAAAGAGTCATGCAAACAATAAGCGAAGACTCAAGTACAAACTATGACAAAATCTTTCTAGGATATAGGTTACCTGAGATGGGCGACCAGAGCCCAAAGGCAAAAAGGACATGGGAAATTTACAACATACTAGGTGAACATGAGGCAAAGATGCAACAACTTGAAGCAGAGGGCAAGTTACCAAAAGCGACACCAAAGAAGAAGAGTAGAACAAAGTGAAAGTAGTGGCAATGAAGGAAAAAGAAGAGTTAAAGATTCAGTTAAAAACTCAGTCAGGAAGAAAGTAAAGCTTGGTCCGAAACAATTATGACACATAAATCCAACTATTCTATATTTTTACCCATATGAAATGTACGCCGCTCAGAATATAACGCCAACAGTTTTGGATGCCATGAACGGAAATGTTTCCGAATGGTATAACAAATGCGACAATGCCATTAGAAGGTCAGAAATAGTTCCTGGAACTTACGAATATACAACTGCTGTTTCTTATGGAAACGTAGGTGAGTTTGGAGAAGGTTCTTCAACAACAGTAGATATTGCTTGCGACAGGTTTCATATTATTTCTATTGACAACTCATTCTTATACGTGGAACAAGACATTGAAATAAAACCTTCTGCCAAGTTGTCTGACAAGAAAGGTTGCAATGGAATTTTCTATGTCGGATACCAATATGCTCCAGAAGTTTTCATGGATATAAGATATATTCTAACTCTGACTTAGTTCAAACAGTAACATGGGCAAACTATGAATGGTTCGCTTTGAGAAACTCAGTACAACCACAAGCTAGAGAACAAACAGACCAGTATGCAACTATTGAGAAAATAAGAAGACTTGACCCTAACGTTCCAGGAGTTTATGTTAACCTTTCTGGACAAACTGCAGCAGCAGTAACCAAAGTAAAACTGAAACTTAGAGTTCCTTTGTCATCTTTCCTCATCTTCAGGTTTTTAAGATACTTGCCAAACTGGGCAGGAAAAATTTCTATCGAACTTACTCCAAGCAAAAATAACTTAGTCATTGCACCAACACAAGACCCATTCACTCTTACAGACGTAAAGGGAACAAATCAAACGTCATTCGCCGAATTTTGCAAAGACAAAGTTGACTTAGACTTTGGTTTCTCAAACCTCAACACTGAAGTAAACTATTATTTCAATGCTGCTGGAGATGCTTGGGACCCAGTTAAGTTCACATGCGAAAAATTTGAATGCAAGAGAATAGAAAGCAGACTTGCAGTCTATATGTTGGACCCAGATATTTCAAATGCTTTAGCTGCCAAATATATTGCAGTTCACTTATGTTCCTATACACCAAATATCTGTCAAAGACTTTGCAGGTGAAGTTGGAAACCAAAATCCAGGAGCCGAAGGTGCAAGAACAGATATTGCTTTAACAACTGCAATGAAACATGCAGATACTATGTTTGTACTGTTCAGACGAACTATAAATGACTATTCTTGTTTCTACAACCCTGGTATTAAATATCATATAAACATAGATGGCAAATATTATCCAAGAGAAGAATATTCTACAGTTGAGGATATGAGGTCATACAACTTGACATTAGATGCTATGAACTTTAACAACAACTTCACAACAACCATTAACCCTGAAATGCAAAGTTCTATTATGCCATATGTGAAAGTATGGACTCATACAGGAGGTCAAAAAACTCAATATACAAATGGAGACCGTTCAAACTTTTGGCTTGGCATTCCATTTGCTGACTCAGAAGACTTTATGGGTGGTATTTCAACTGTTGGTACAGTTCAAATACAATATACTGGTGACAGAGACGGTCCAGATGAATTGAAAGCAAAGAAGTTTACAAAACCAATAGCACTTTTCACAGAAGATGCTCTTTTGAAGATTCGTTCGATGAAACCTGCTGGGGCTCCTCAGATTGGCATAACGACAGCTTCCATCGAGCAGATTTTGGCAGCAGGCCAGTAAGTTGTTCTTGAACTGACTTCTCTCCGTCAAATATTGACAGTACGCCAGTTTTGACATAATATTGTATTATAAACTTTCCTTTAGTAATATCTGTAAGTTTTGAAGTTATATTTTGTCTGCTTCAAGAACTTTCACCATTTCAGTTATACCAACTTTCTTTGCTTTATGAAAATATTTAGGTTCAGCAAAGACTGCTATTCTATAACATTTTCCATTGTTTGTGTAAAGAACTATTCTGTCAATGTATTTGTATTGTTTGTGAGTATAAACTTTGTTCTGCTTCAATTCAATAAGATATCCGAATACGTCCATCTTTTTATTCTAAGTAAAATGTCATTTCCGAAAAATAGAAGCGTAAGTATTTCAAAAGGTTTAATGGCGGTGGCAGATGTGAAGTTAAATTCACCAACTCAAACAAACAGTCAAAGTGCTGTTGTCAATGTCAAAGACAGAGATGTTGAAGTGGGGAAACCATACGAAGACGAAGATGGTATAACAATTGTTCCTGTAAAAGAACCAACATATCCTGAAGTTAGCAGAGACTTAAGTTCTGTTGCAGATATTCGAAACGACTACCAACAACTGAAAGACAAACTTCAAACTCAGGAGAAGATTTGTCAAGCTTTAAGTATAATGTTAAACTTGGTCGAACGCAACCCTGTAAAAGTGAACTCATATGTCATTGCACCTCATGAAGTTTTGAAAGAACTATTGAAACTTTTGACAGAGGCAGACGATATAAACATCAAAGAAATAGAACCCGACATTAGTTGCTGTGGTGTTTCATATAATGTCATTGACAAGATATACGTTATGAAAGGAGGTGAAATGTTGAACTTAAAATATAGTTTCCCAGACGTTATAAAAATATTTGACGACCACAACATTTCATTAAAGTTTATTTGCTAAGTAAATGGCAGAAGACATAATGGTTTATACTATTACGACTAAAAACCCTGAGTCATATAATTCTATAACAACAAACTTACAAAGTCCTCAAGGACGATATTGTAAACTAACCTTAAACACAATGACGACTAAAGCCTGTTTTGCTCTTTTGACACCAGAAGACTTTATTGCTGTGAATGGTAAAAAATACTCCTTTGAAGATACTTACTCAGATATACCACCAACAGGTTTTGTTGACTTATTTAATACTTTAAGTACGGGTGTAACATGTGCTGCAACTAGAGCAGGTTTCATTATGTTTGGATGTCCGACTGAGTTTACTATAAACGATATGAGCTATAATACAAAACTTATTCTGGTTTTTACTACCAACAGTTTCCTATAACAGGAAAAGGTGTCATACAAGGAATGTCTATTCCATTGACATTAAGCACACCAATCTTATATATTGTTTCAAACTTAGGTTCAAAGTGTTATTCGAATGTCGACAGAAACTATTATGACCAAAAGATACTTATGCGTATAAACAATACTTTCTCTGCTGGTTTGCCTATTGTTCATTCGAATGCAGAATTTTCAACCTTAGTGAACTCAAACACTTTGGCAAGTATAACGTTGACATTAGTTGACGCAAACTTTGTTCCTGTAAAACTTTTATGTCCTATGTATTTGTCAATGACGGCAGAAAGTTTCGAATTGGAAGATGCAACTGGTGAAAGTATTGTATTACAAGAACAACTTCAACAACAAATAGCTCAAGAACAACAAATGCAACAAATGCAACAACAAAGTCAAGAATAAAAAAATATTTTTTTTTATTTTTATAAAAATGTACAGAATAGATGTTTCAGATTTTTATGACTTCCAAGCATTCAGAAATATGTGTCCATTTCGAGACTATAACAAAGCAGTCGAGAATTTGAAACGTTTAGTCATTTATGTTGACTCTGCCCCAGAATGTTATGTCATGAAAGAATGGATGTTGTCTTTAACAAACCAAGAGCAACAATAGTGTCTGAACAAGAATGTAGACAGAAACTTAAGAAAATAAAAGTTGTACAAGTTGGAATGAAGATGTTAGATGCTTGGGATATCTTATTGTCAAAGTTAGAAGATTTTTCAGTTCGAGGTATAAAGTTCTATACACCTTCTCCAAACTTCTATTCTATCTTCACTGGATATAAATATGAACAAGTAGAATGGAAAGAAAATGTTATAGAAGCTTGGTTAGACCATGTCAAAGAAATTATATGCAATGGAAACGAAAAGGTTTATGAGTATATCTTATGTTGGTTTGCAAACATCTTACAACATCCAAGTGCTAAAAATGAAACTGCTCTCATTATAATTGGAAAACAAGGAACTGGTAAGAACAC